ACATAAATAAATATTTTACTAGGATGGGATGAGTCCATGGTACTCTTTAATGCACCTTTTCTTTTACGAAACAGTATGTCACAGGCACTTTTCAGGCCCACATATAGAGACCTGCACTATCACTGAGTGTCCAGTCCATGTCTACTGTCTGAATAAATTTGGGCCATAAGGTCTCATCCTCTCTAATAGACACTAAGTTCACTTCCAATCTTCCTTCAAAGATAAATGAACATTGTTAAATTTTATATTGAGAGAGAGAAAGAAACAGAGAGACAGAGACAGAAGGACAGAGAGGAGACAGAGATTTGTATACTTCTATTCATTACAGTTTCCCCGGAAAGGTCTTAACAATTTGGCCCTGCTAGAATATTGAAGTTTTATTATATGATCAGATGAAATTATGCTGGGTTCACAATGAGAAACCTATGCTATGTGTTCTTTTTCCTTGCTTATTCTCTAGATATATATGCATTAGAAATAGTTTTTCCAATTTATCATTGAGATTCATACTTTATTAAATATTTTAGAAATTTCATGGTTTGAGCAACTCATTTTTTTCTTTGCAAAGTCTGAATTGATTAATAATGCTACTCAATACGTAAAAGTTCTATAGTATAACATTTTTCTTAATGGTTACAGAGATTTTTTGCATTAATATCCTGAGTCATAATTTATTTGTTTATATGTATGCAATTTGAGACAACTTACACTATTTTATTCCAACTGTGAAGCCAGTTATGTTTAGTAAATGAACTATAGCAGGTCCTCACTTTACACTGTCAGCAGGTTCTCTGAAACAGCGACTTTAAGGAAAAGACAGACAGCAGCTCCTCAAATAATGTCTTTTCCTTCAATGTTGTTTCATTACAAGGTTGAAAAAAGGTACTGGCTTTGTTATATGTAATTTCACCTAAAGTCAGTAAGAAAGAGTAAGAAATTCACTCTAATCACTTACCTTCTAATCAATTCTTAGCCTTTAGTCACTACCTTTTAATTAATCCAAACCCTTTATTAGAGATGGGGAAATTTTATAAGGTGTAGCAACTAATTTTAGAATCTATCCAATCTTATACTCAATGGTTCTTTTCCAATCTTAAAAAACAAAACAAAACAAAAACAAAAATATCTATGTCTTTCTCTTTGGTATGTTTGTTATATTATGTGTTTAATCACAATTTTATTTCATTGTTTTTGGTTTTTTCCTTTTGGAACTCTTGTGCCATATTGGGTTTTTTAGATCTATCTTCTATTTTCTTCATATTTTGAAATTTAAAAAATCCAGTATGACCTTATTATTTTTCACCTAAAGAGAAAATTTGAAGGTATATGTCTGCTACTGCTTCTTCAGCTGATTGTGTGTAAGGCCAACGTCAATAAACATCTACTTTCACATTTGTTGTCTCAGGGTTCTATGAGGACATTAAAGAGGATGTTAAGTATACATCCAGTTTTTACACTGAGTTTCTGATGATTATAAGATAGCTGCAACAGATCCATACTATATCCATGTTCAGAAAACAGAGAATAAATTATTTCACCTTTCATCAAACCCTTTCTTAATGTCCCTTTGTTCACACTGTTCATCTCTACATTGTAAAAGCTTCTAGTTCCTGAAATAAGTGGATTAATCTGAACATAAGCAGAGAAAGTGATATCAGCAGACACCTTAAGTGTCACCACGGGAGTGTGGTTAGCAGAGCCCACTGTGTGTGTCATGGGGCCCCTCATGTGGGGTGTCAAGACCTTGATCTGGGACAAGAACGAGGCCCAGATCAGTGAGTAACTACTGAGTCTGCCTCCTTTGGGAAGTTCTAGTTGTACCCTGTCTTCCTCATTTTCTATTTGGTAATTGTCTTCTCTTCACTTCATTCTCTCCATAGACACATACATACAAAACGTATATACATAGATAGAAGAAATGAAGCTACTCTCCTCATTTATTTATTTACTTAAATATTTATCCTACTTTTCAATGTTTCTATAGAGCTAAAATTACATTAACATTTTTATCTCCAAAATTTTTTATTTCTCATAGTTTTCACTTTTCTCATAGAGTCTGCCTTTTAATTGTTACAATATGAATGGAAAACTCCAAGATACAATTAAAGTTTTATTACTTTTGTGTTGCTGTGTGATTTGTTGGTGTTTCATTTTAGTCTATTCTTTCTTGTAGAAATTGCATTTTACTGCAGTGTTAACAATACAGAAAATAATAGCTGATGGGTCAGTACAAAACAAACAAACAAAACCAATTTTCTGACCAAGACTGCCCCGGCAATTTACAGCCCCCCTCGGAATATCTACACCCACATCCTCCTTTAAACCAGCCACCACACAATCATCTACAGCATCCACTCTTTCTCATCTTATTTCTTTGAGTGTCCAAGAAAGAAAAGGTTAGCATCTGAGACTGCAGCTAATTTTTCCTATCTTGGGGACACAGGTAAGAAAAAATTACCCAGTCAAATGTTTTTATAATTAGTCTAATAAGGTCTCCTGATGATGATAATTTCAATTAGAAAGGTGATTAAAAGTCTTGTTTACGTCATGTATTTAGAAGGGTATGTATGGCTTCTCCAGGTTGCTCATGGTAACAAACTTGGAATTACTGGCTGTATGGACAGGGCCTGCTGAACATGTCAATGACAGATATATAATTATAATAGTATAAAATGAAGATGTTTCTCAATCCTATAAATCATTTTGTGTAAGGTATTGGTCTTCCAGTATGATTTGGAGGCCTCATGTCTTAAACCTGGGTCCTGCTGTGTTTTAATGTGGCAAAGAAGAGGTGAAGAGCTGCGCCAGGGGTCTGAAACTTCGTGCCTTCCCAGGGTGTTGCAATCACCTGTGTCCTTTGAACTGCAGTTGGCCCTTGAACAACATGGGGGTTAGGGGCACCAACACCCTCCTGAGTTGAAAATATGCCTATAAATTTGTCCCCAAACTTAAATACCAATAACCTACCATTTACCAGAAGCCTCACTGATAACATGTATGTTGTTATGTATTATATACTGTATTCTTACAATAAAGTGAGCTAGAGAAAGGAAAATATTATTCACAAAATCATAATGAAGAAAAAATGTATATACTATTCATTAAGGGGAAGTGGATTATCATAAAGGTCTATATCCTCACCATCTTCACATTGATTAGGCTGAGGAAGAGGAGGAAAAGGAGGGATTGGTCTTGCTGTCTCAGAGGTGGCAGAGACAGAAGAAAGTCCACATATAAATACACCTTTGCAGTTTAAACTCATGTTGTTCAAGAGTCAACTGTACTAGTAAAATATGATATTGGTTAAATCTCAGGTTCATGCTACCAAATGACATCTCAGTGTGAATTTACCTCTCCAACCTCTGAAGAGGTCTAAGAAGAAATACAGTGGTGCATGGTGGAGACTGCTGTACATCTACTCCTAAGATTCACCACCATTTCATTCTCACTACCCACAAATTTCTCTATTTTTTCTTTTCTTGTTATTTTCACTTAAATAATTAAAAGTGCCTGGAGCAGGACAAACAGGAAACAACATCCTTCATTTTGCTGTTAGTGAATGGTAGAACCTGAGACGCTATGTACTTCCGTTTGCCTCACATTTTCCTGAAGTTCATTGTCATCAGGCAGGTGAAATTTTGCAAAATATACTTGAGGGTAGGGTGTATAATTTTCCTTGTTACATAGTTGTTGCATTTTGGCTGGCTATTTAGAGAAGAAAGGAACCAAATAATTAGGCTCACGCCCTATTTTCATTCTGAGAAGCTACTACATGATTGGAGCTTTACCATGAATCTGTGACAAATGATTTTAGGATTTAAATCTGGCACAAGAAAATACAAGTTAATGTAGAGAAGTAGACTAACTCAGGTAAGAAAGAAAAGATGGTGGGAATGAAGAATATAATGTAATTTTTACTAGATAAGATAACCCTTGTTAACCTAATATTTGACAGCATGGGGTGATAGGCTGCCCAATCCAGGACTGACCTCTGTGATGTCTGAAAGCCTAGTACAGTAATCTTCACACTGTAGCAATGTCCTACTCCTAAACCCACAATCCTAAATAATTTCCTACACCTTTGTAATCTATTAACCATGCACATATGATGCAAATGTCAATTTTTGACATGTAAAACTTCAAGTTACAAACCCCCTCTTCAATGCTTTATTTATTTATAATCTGAGAATCCATAGTCTTTATTTGGTATTGTAAATTAGATAAATATGTGAGAAGAGTAAAACAACTTAGCTGACATTATTGCTTTTTTGAAGAAACATTTTTTGCCCTGAATGAATTTAAATTTTCTTATGTCTATATGTGTTTGTTCTCCCTTAGCAATGTGTGTGTTGTGTGTCTGTGCGTGTGTGTGTCTATAAGGTTTTAAAAGTACAGCATATAAATTCATTTAAGCAATTATTTACAAAGGAGGTCCAAAATCAGACATTTTATGACAAGGAAGGACATGAGTTAATAACATAAAATCATTGACTGTGTTTAAAGTGAGAGAGAATAAATTCTTTGAGTAGCTTTTGAGCACACATTGTTAAAAATCTGGGAGCCTTGTTATCCCATTACATCGTAGAGCTGCCATTAGAATCCATGCCCCTTTAATTCCAAATTTGAATTTATAGATGCTAAATTCAGGAGAATTTATCTTGATCTGTTGCTTTGGGGAACTTTATTGCAAAGACTTACATCTTATTACTAAAGCATATTTGTACTGAATCAGAAACCATTTACTTACAAGCTATGAGCTGTATGTACACTATGTAAACTTCCCTACAATTCATTTTCCTTATCAATAAATAGGCTTCATAATTTTTATACAATTACTCAGGGGATTAAATGTGATAATCCACACAACGTGCTTAACACAGTTTTCAGCATACAGGAGACATTTAATAGCAATCGGTTTCTCTCATGACTGTTTTTAAGACCATGTAGGCACACACTTGTTCTTATCACCAGTCTAGTGTTATTTAATTCAGCCATTGAGGTCACAATTGCTGCTGAAAGACTGTGCCCTTGCAAAGCACTTTCTGAAGTGCTCTCTTCATAGCCTTGTTTCTCAGACTGTAGATGAAAGGATTCAGCATGGGAGTCACCACTGAATACATGACAGCTGACAGCGTGTCACTCTCAGGAGTATGGGAGGAGGAGGGCCTGAAGTAGACAGCAATGGCTGTGCCATAAAACAATACCACCACTGACAGGTGGCAGCCACAGGTGGAGAAGGCTCTCTGTTTGCCCTCAGTAGAGGTGATCTTAAGAATGGCAGAGAAGATAAGTCCATAAGATATAAGGATGCATATCAAGGGTGTGAGAGCCACTAGACCTCCTACGGTAAAAATGACCAACACATTGAAGGAGACATCAGAGCAAGAGAGCTGCAGGATAGGGTTGAGATCACAGAAGAAATGATGGATAACATTGGATCCACAGAAGGACAGATGTGTTATTAGGAAGGTATGCAGGAGGGCATGGAGGTAGGTGAGGACCCAGAGCCCAGCCACCAGCTGGACACAAAGGCGAGGATTCATTACGGCGGTATAATGTAAAGGGTGGCAAATCGCCACGTACCTATCATATGCCATCACACAGAGAAGGAGACTGTCCATATTCACAAAAGAAATGAAGAAGAAGAGCTGCGTGAGGCAGCCTGCAAAAGAAATAGTCTTAAGGTCAGTCAAGATATTCACCACCATTTGGGGGACTATCGTGGAAGTAAAGCAAATGTCCACAAAGGCCAAGTTACTCAGGAAGAAATACATGGGGGAATGGAGGCTAGAGTCAAAGGCAATGGCCAAGATGATGAGCATGTTCCCCAGCAGGGTGACTAAGTACATGCAGAGAAAGAGCACAGACAGTGGGTGCTGCTGCTCTGCTGAGCAGGGTAGTCCCAGAAGCACAAATTCTCTGACTACTGTTAGATTTCTTTTTTCCATATTCTCAATGAATCTAAAAGAAGAAAATATTAAATTGTGAAACCAGTTATGTCGAGTCTCTCATTCACAAGAATGTGTGTGTGTGTGTGTGTGTGTGTGTGTGTGTGTGTAATTAAATACCATCCAAACTCTTGCTTGCTTAGATTCTTGCCAATTACATCTTGTGTTTACAATATTCTGTAGGTATATTCACATACACATGCTAGGTGTACCAATCACAACTTTTTAAAGAAAGAATGATTTATTACCCCAAATGAAAAATATAAATTCTGCAAATAATGATCATTTTTTAATTGGGCCAACTATTTTCCTTTGCCTACATTAATCATGTAATTCATATTGACTTCATATACACAATTGTTTGTTATTTTTAGCAGTCATGATGCCTACTCTGACCCAGCAGAAACATTTACCTTTAAGGAGTACATTTCCTCCCACTCTTATGTTCATATGCATGATGGCACATGTCATCTTTCCCTGTTTTTGTAAGAACAAATTTTGGTCATTGATAATCCCAAGCCTGACTCTGTTCCTCCGGTGACAGAGTCTTTGGACTCTGCTGGTCATTTGTTTTGACCCCGCCTCTGACCGGTGTGGTGAGTGATCCGAAGCCCAGTGGCTGTGGGCTAGGCTTTCAGGGCCTGCCTCACAGCAGCTCAGGTGTACTACTTCTCTACAGGAGGTGACAGCTTTCTTTCATGCCTTTCAAAATTCTTCATAGGGTGTCTTGCTACTTGCAGCCCTTCACTGTACTCTCCGAATTCTCATTTCTATATCAATCTAAATTGTACCTTATTTTTAGGAATATGAAGACACAAAAATTACTTTTATAACAATCTGAAAGCAAACAAACATCCATATATTCATGCAGTCCACACTTCCCTTCAGCTCCTATGATTCAGGTTTTATACACAACTTATTTAGGACTAAAGATTTTTTTCTGGCTCAAAATGAATTCATGATTAACTATGGCTTCCAGAACATCTACTTTGACATCTGAGGCACTCCCAGTCTTTTCAAACCTACATTGTTAAGTTTATGTTATTTTAAATCTAGCTTGATGCAATGGTCTTGAATAGGTCATATGGCTATCAAGCAAAAGACATGGTGTAGAAGTTGCTAGAGATTTGGGAATTTTGATCCAAGTATCATTATTTCCTCATAATGTTTCACGAACTATTTAAGACTTTTATTTTATTGATTTGTACATCCAGGATTCTACTGAACAAAATTCTTAAAATAACTTCTATATAAAACATGTCTTATATATTAATATAAGTTTCAGGAGGTTCTCCCAAATTTATAATATATAATTGTTCTTTATCTGTTTAGTAGTATTATTTACTCAAACATTTCCAAGTTACTGTATTTCATCAGATGTATTATTATATACAAGTAAGGAAAACATCTACTTCAAAACACACACATAAAATCATTCAGAACAGCGTGGGTAGGATCAATGCCTTAAAGGATACTGTTCAACATTCTTCATTTTCTTTCTCTAACCATCATTGCCATCACAAAATAACATAAGTTAGCACTACCCAATCTATATCTTCTGGGTCTATACCCAGATAGCTGATAAATGCTGGAGAACACAATGCAGTATAACTGTTCCTATTAGAATGTTTTGAATTCCAATTTTATCAGAAACAGCCATTAACACTATGACATTCATCTCCCTCTAATTCCTGTTAACTTTAGTTAATTTTCTTGCATCCCTTTTGCCCAGCCTGAGGAATATCACAATAAAGTCTGTACTGAGAAGAAACATTACACACTCTTGTATATACATTCCTTTCAGTAAAGAGCACCCATTCAAAAACAGCTTCCTTCCCCTGTAGGCAGTATCAGTTACACCATTTTTCTCAATTCCACAATCACTATACAATATTCCTTTCATGACAAGCATAACAATCTATATTTTTCTTGGTATTCTTTATAGTAGTGACATGTCCAGAAAGGAATTTTTATTTATTACATCAAAGCCTTAGCATATAACACATATATACACATAGTTGGTACAAAATAGTGCTTATGGAAACAATGAATGAAAAATTCTAGAAAAACAATTTGATTTTATAATGAATGTATGAAATTTTCGGAAGAGTTTTTTTTTTTATTATTATATATTCTCATTTATAGCCCATCATGTTGATTCGAGGATTTTATTTCTCAAACAGGATTTTTAAAAAGTCACTCTGTCGGCCGGGCGCTGTGGCTCACGCCTGTAATCCTAGCTCTTGGGAGGCCGAGGCGGGCGGATTGCTCAAGGTCAGGAGTTCAAAACCAGCCTGAGCAAGAGCGAGACCCCGTCTCTACTATAAATAGAAAGAAATTAATTGGCCAACTGATATATATATAAAAAAAATTAGCCGGGCATGGTGGCGCATGCCTGTAGTCCCAGCTACCTGGGAGGCTGAGGCAGAAGGATCACTCGAGCCCAGGAGTTTGAGGTTGCTGTGAGCTAGGCTGACGCCACGGCACTCACTCTAGCCTGGGCAACAAAGCGAGACTCTGTCTCAAAAAAAAAAAAAAAAAAAAAAAAAAAAAAAAAAAAAGTCACTCTGTCATAGAAATGTTTAACAGCTTCATTAAAACTATTTTATGTGCTACCACTCAGGGAATTACATGTTAGGTGTGTCATCACTAAAACAAAGAAAAAATGTGTGAATACATACCCTTTTGTGAGACTTTTTGCCACTCACAATTTTCTTCCTCCCTGAATATCCAACCACAAAAATATAGGTGGACCTGTGCATTGATTCTGATTCCTTGTCAAGAGTGAAAAAGAGAAGAATAATGAGATATAAATAAATGTGTTCTTCTAGACAGAAAATAATAGTATATCACAGGTGTATTCACTTTTGTATATTTATTTATTTATTTTTATACTTCAAGGGACAGACCTTGAACAAAGGCATAGTTTTCTCCCCTGAGCTCAGCACCCAATGGGCTACAATGGCATTCCATATTCATGTTCTAATGAATTTCTCTTGTTTATGAATTGGCTTCTTCCTTATTTTGAAGAGAATGCAAACACAGGATGAAATATTTAAAGCAAAAAGAAATCATGGAAGACCATGAAGGTCCTAAAATAAATTCTCCTTTTCTTTTACAGGATAATATTGCTTGGGGGCAATGAATGACATAAAAAGATAGAAAAGTGGAACCAAAAGTCTATAAACCTACGGATTCCATCTCCATGAAATTTACAGTCTCTACCTGTCCCCCAGTGCTAACAGGAGATTCAATTATATAAACAACCAACTTTGGAGCAAGACACATTTGGGTTCAAATCTTAATTTGTAAATTAATTATTAATAGTTGCTTGACCTTGCACATAGCATTTTCTTTTTGTACACTTTAGTGTTCTCACCTATGAAAAGACAAATACTACCTATAGCATTTAATTACTATAAGAACTTTAATACTTATATAAAAAATTAAGAATTGTGCACAGCCACAGATCTCATTAGCTCAACTAATGAGCTAATGGCTAGTATAATTAAAAATGTGACAGCTCAAATGAAAACCAAAAGGGAGTGTTTCTGGAAATTAGTTTTTTCATTGGACACTAGCTAATATGTCTGTGTGTATGCATGCAGATATAGATATAGAGACATAGTTTTAAATCATATTCTGAGCTACTCTTCAGGACTTTATAAATTAGTTTGAAGACTATACCTAAACCAACCAATATTAATGCAAAACATATTAAACATATGGTCATTTATATGAATCCAAAAATGCATTTATTATTCTACACTGACATAAACATTTTATTAAATACATAGTTTTTAGTTTAGTACATGTGGGAAAGTATAAGAATAGTCTAGGATGACAAACATTGAAATCATCTTAATACACACACATGTATATGCAAGAAATATATATTGTATATGCACAATTTGTGTAGATATGTATAAATATATACATACATTCATACATACATTTTTCTAATGTGATGAAAACCCCAACATTATCAGTTAAAAGGAAGAAGAGTGAAGATTACCTTACACTGATGTTTAATTTTATGTCTCAGAGTTCATATAATGTGGTAAATTTAACAGCTTTTGGAAAATCTTTTTAGAACATAGTATTAGATTCTTGCAGGAGATCCATGAACTACTAAAAACACTTTAGATTTAGAAATCTATTGCTTTCCCCAGAGGTTGTACTACTTTGCAGTCCCACCAGCAGTCTATGAGTGTTCCTATCTCTCCACATCCACGCAGCATTTATGGTTTCGGGACTTTTTGATAAAGACCAGTCTCCCTGGAAATAAGTGATATCTCATTGTGATTTTCATTTGCATTTCCCTGATGATCAGAGATGTTGAGCATTTTTTTTTATATGTTTGTTGGCCATTAGCCTATATCTTCTTTTGAAAAGTTTCTATTCATGTCTTTTGCCCACTTTTTGATAGGGTTGTTTGATTTTTTTCTTGCTAATTTTCCTGAATTCTATGTACAAGCCAGTTATCAGCCCTTTATCAGATATATAGCATGAACATATTTTCTCCCATTCTGTAGGTTGTCTATTCACTCTAGTGATAGTTTCTTTGGCTGTGCAAAAGCTTTTTAATTTGATCAAGGTACCATTTATTTATTTTTGTTGTTGCTGTGATTGCTTTGGGGGCTTCTTCATAAATTCATTGCCTAGGCCAATGTCTACAAGAGGTTCTGCAACATTTTCTTCTACCATTCTTCTAGTTTCAAGTATGTTATCCACCATGAGTTGATTTTTGTAAGAGGTGAAAGGTATGGATCCTGTTTCAGTCTTCTACATGTGGCTATCAAATTTTCCCAGCACTAGGTATTGAATAGGGATTTTCCCTGGTGTATGTTTTTGTCTGCTTTGTGAAAGATCAGATGGCCATATAAGAATGTTTTTTTTTTAATTTAGGAATATTATGGGGGTACAAATTTTAAGAACTTTTCTGTCACCCCAGAAAATTCCCTTGGTTCCTTCATACTTGGCCATTTCCTTCAAAATCT